CTACGGATCAAGAAGCTAGGAAAGTAACCTAAGCCTGGTAGTGGTGGTGCCTGCCTGTAAATCCCAGCACACCACGGGCTGAGGCAGGAGGATCTCAAGTTCAAAGTCAGCCTGAAAAAAAAGCCTAGAAATCTTGAAAAACAATAAAAAACACCTTGGCACAACCTGTCAACAGGAAGAAGCAACGACACATACTTTACAGACAGTACGTAAGCACTGGGAAAATAATTCTCTGCAAAACACAAACATCTCCTAAATTGGTAACAAAACTCCTTAAGACATTAGGCTGGGTGTGGTGGTGCACACCTTTCATCCCAGCACTTGAGAGGCAGAGTCAAGCGGATCTCTGTGAGTTGAGGCCAGCCTGGTCTACATACAGAGTTCCAGGCCAACTGGGGCTACACGGAGACCCTGTCTCAAAAAAAACAAAGAAACAAACAAACAAACAAACAAAAAACTACAGGCCACTGTTGCTTACAACAGTCGTAAACGGGGAGCAAGCGCTGCTACAAGCCTGTAACCCCAGGATGTGCCAGGAGCAGACAGGAGGGTCATGACTTGGATGCCAACCTGAGCTTCACAGAGGCCATCCTGGATCGCAGTGTTAACCTTGTCTCAGAATTAATTAAAAAAGAGGGGCTGGAGAGACGGCTCAGTGGTTAAGAGCACTGACTGCTCTTGCAGAGGACCCGGGTTCGATTCCCAGCACCCACATGCAACTACGAACTGTCCTTAACTCCAGTTCCAGGGGAATCTGAAGCCCTCTTCTGACCTCCGCAGCATTGCACGACATGGGTGCGCTCACATACATGCAGGCAATATACTCATACACATAAAATAAAAATAATAAAATATTAAAAAAAACAAAAGACATGCAGGGAATACACTCATACACAATCTCAGCACTTGGGAGGCAGAGACAGGTGGATCTCTCTGAGTTCCAGGCCAGGCTGGTCTACACAGCAAGTTCCAGGCCATCTGGGGCTACAGGGAGACCCTATCTCAAAAAAAAAAAAAAAGCGCACAAATATAAGATTTTTAAATTCTTTGCTACTGATACAGTAATACACCAAAAGGATAATATATCACAGCCACATGGATATACTCCAGAAGTACAAAGGGTGTTTAACATGCAGACTTTAACAATAACAACAAAAAAAGAGCACATTTTTAGTGCTTGCTTAGTGCACTTAAGAGGCCCTACACATTACGTATTAAGAGAATGACCTTGACTGATGAGATCTTGCGCCCTCATCTTCAGTGCTGGGGTTAGACATGTGCTACCATGTGCAGCTATCTTACTATTCTAAAGGAAAACATACCTCACAGATACCTGTTTGTCTATAATATACACACGTAACAGAAAAAGCGCCTTCTGCATCTATAGTTACACATCTGTGGCCTCAACCACCTGTAGATCAAAAAGACGTGAGGGAAGGGAAACTGCACGGACAGAGACTTCCCGGGCCATCACCCTACACAATGCAGGGCAGGGACAGCTGATGCCATTTATCAAATATTTAGATCTACAGCATTTATGTGGTTCTAAACTCAACCTTGGAAATTATCAATCTATCCTTGGGTTCAGTTTTCATATTTATACAGTCAGAATAACAGAATTAATTTAAAACCTAGTGGTTTGATTCAAATTTATAGGTCAGCAGCAGCACAGTCCCAGTCATTACCTGGCGAAAAGAAGAAAGGACAGAAAATACGAGTGGCTGAGCCACCAGCAATACTGCCCAGACCATCTGTTAGCAGGAGGTGAACAGAACCGAGAAATGACAGGACCACGCCACAATAGCTGAGTCCTTGCGTCCACAAAGGAACACGAAACAATGAGCAAGCACAAGATTCCCTGGCTAGTAGCCAGAACACCAAAAAGAAAAGGCAACCGAAGGGTCAGAATGGATACTGACCCAGCTGGCCAAATGCAGCCTAAACCTGATAACCGCAGAACCCTCAAAACTGTACTGGAGTGACCTTTCCCTGTTCACTAAAAAGAGGACTCTAGGCAGGGAACAAACTCTCACTCAGCAAGCTAGTGAGACCAGACAGCTGAGAGTAAAGGAGCAGCCTCTTTTCTACTTCAAAGACTGGCAAACCATGGTAGCTCACACCTGTAATCTCAGCACTGGGGAAGCAGAGACAAGGGGAGTCACAGGAGTGTGAGGCCAGTCAGGGTTACAGAATGAGTTCCAGGCCAGCCTGGGCTACAGAGTAAGTTCCAGTCCAGGCTACAGAGTAAAAGCCTGCATTAAAAAAAAAATCCAAGGCGCAGGGCATGGTGGCACATACCTGTGATCCCAGGGAGGCAGAGGCAGGTGGATCTTTGCAAGTTCAAGGCCAGCCTGGTCTATATAGTGAGTTCCAGGCCAGCGGGAGCTACAGGGAGACCCTGTCTTTAAAAAAAAAACTCCAAGCTAACAATCATTTTGTGGATTACTTTGTAAACCAAAAGGTTTCTAGAGTAATCTTGATGGGGACGGTTTACAATGGCTAATTTTAGAGCATTCTCCATGATTTCCAAACCACAGTTACATCTTGGATAACGCCGAATCTAGAGTTGACTACTGAGGAGTCCTGGACAGCTGTGATGAATCCCCGCAGACTGCAACCTCATTTCACAATGACTCCTGGCCCATAGAATGGATCGATATGCTAGGGTTTGAGGAAGGGAATCTGTGCACAAAAAACAGAGTTTTCCAAGATGAGTCAGCTGTGTGCACAGGGACACCCAACTAGTTTCAAAAAGACCACAAGACTCAGATGTTCAGTATGGCCTGCACCCTGGTTTAGAGTGACTTCTGGGACAAAAGAAACTCCATCTACACTAACCTAGGCACTACCCTGAAGACATTCTGTTGATGGAGCAAACAAACACACCATTAGATGACATAACACGAGCAGACCTCATCCAATCAGCTGAAAGACCATTAAAAGAAAGTTGAAGGAATTCTGCACCAAGACCACATTCTCAGCCCATGCCTAAATTCCAGTTTTGTGAGTTCCAACCCTGTAGCCAGCCTTAGCCATTTCAGACTTGCCAGCTGTAACATCAGCCAGCTTTATAAATGACTTCCTATCTGCAGAGAACCCTGACACAGGGCTTGCAATCTTTCAATTTCATTAAGAAATTACTGTATGGAAATACTTAGAAAATTTATCCAAAATAAATGTATAAAAGTGGTTTGTATGGGGCTGGAAAGATGGCTCAGCAATTAAAAGCACTGGCTGTTCTTACAGAGAACCCAGGTTTGGTTCCCAGCACCCACATGGTGGCTAACAACTGTCCGTAACTCCAATTCCACAGGATCCGACACCCTCATCTGACCTCCTCAGGCACTGAATGACACAGGTCCACTTATATGCATACAGGTAATACACTCACATACATAAAATAAAAATAATAAAGTATTAGAAAAAGAAAAAACGTGGTTTGTGCCAGGAATGGTGGCTCATGCCTTTAATCCCAGCTCTAAGAAGAGAGGGACAAGTGGAGCCCTGTGAGTTCAAGGCCAACCTTGTCTACACAGCAAGTTCTAGGTGAGCCAGGGCTACATAAGTGAGACCCTGTCTCAAACAAGCAAACAAACAAAATAAGTGCTTTACTAGAATACCATTTTAATAGCCAAGGTGTAAAACGCCTATAATCCCAGCACTTAAGAGGTGGAGGCAGGAGGATCCAGTATTCAAGGCCAATCTGGGCTACACAAGACCTGTCACCAAAAAACAACACACACACAAATTAGTTCACTGGATTTTTTTGACATGATTAAATGTTTCAAAAATTAGCCAACACCATACAAGCACGGGAAGATGCTTATGAAAGGAACAGAGTACTCACTCTGGCAGTACATACACTAAAAGTGGAATAACAGAAGATTAGCATGGCCCAGTGCAAGGATGACATGCAAATCCGTGAAATGTCCCGTATTTCTTGGACTCACACCAAGAGACATCTGGAGACATAAACCAGGCTTGACAGGCCTTAATATATATTGACAGAATGCATAAAATCCAGTGAGGGGCTATGGGGAGCTGCAGATAGGAGAGAGGATCTAAGTATGATCAAGGTGCATAAAATGTGCAAAAAAGTTCAGTTTTGAAAAAAAAAAGGACAAAGGGTCTAGCAAGATGACTCAGCTGGTGGAGACACTTGCCACAAAGCTTGAAGACCTGGCATTCGACCCAAGACCCACAGGCTGGAAGGAGGACCTATACCACACACATGCCACACACAATAAACAAAATGTAATTTAAATTTTTAAGAGAGTGCCGGGCGCGGTAGCGCACGCCTTTAATCCCAGCACTCGGGAGGCAGAGGCAGGCGGATCTCTCTGAGTTCAAGGCCAGCCTGGTCTACATAGTGAGTTCCAGGACAGCTGGGGCTACAGGGAGACCCTGTCTCAAAAAGACCAAAAAAGAAAGAAAGAAAAAAAAATTTTAAGAGACTGTATGTGTGAGTTCCACAATATAAAGTGTTTCTAAGAAGATCATAGCAAAAACAGTTGAGAAAAGAGAAAATATGGATGCAGAAATTAATCCTTTTTCCTCCTACTGAGTTTTAACATTATGGCTATGTCCTTTTAGTGTAACATGTAGTCTCTTATGACACCTTTACAGATTTAGTATATTATTTTCTCTAAGAACTTGGTTCTAGTTCTCAAGTATTGGTCAGAGTAACTTCCTAGCCTGGTGATGAATATTTCACATGTGTGAGGCCAGGGACACACATAATCCTGGGTCACATCTCTGTCTGATATTTACTTTAAAAACATAAAAATCTCTCCAGCTATGCTGGAGGGATGGCTCAGTAGTTAGAGCACTGACTACTCTTGCAGAAGACCAGCGTTCAATTTCCAGCACCCACATGGTGGCTGACAATCATCCGTAACTCCAGTTCCAGGGATCTCACACCCTCTTCTGGCCTCCACGGACTTTGCTGGACATGGGTGCACTTACATACAGGCAATACACTCATACACATAAAAAAATAAAAATAAGGGGCTAGAGAGGTGGCTCAGTAGTTAAGAGCACTGACTACTCTTACAGAGGACCTGGGTTCGATTCCCAGCACCCACATGGTGGCTACGAACTGTCCTTAACTCCAGTTCCAGGGGAATCTGAAGTCCTCTTCTGACCTCCACGGCACTACATGACATGGGCAAACTCCATACATGCAGGCAATACACTAGAACACATAAAATTATTTTTTTTTAATTAATAAAATAAAAAATAAAAACAAACTCTCGGGGCTGGAGATGGCTCAGCAGTTAAGAGCACTGACTGCTCTTGCAGAGGACCCGGGTTCAACTCCTAGCACCCACATGGCGGCTACGAACTGTCCTTAACTCCAGTTCCAGGGCAATCCAAAGCCCTCTTCTGACCTCCACAGCACTGCATGACACGGGTGCGCTCACAAACATGTAGGCAATACACTCATACACATAAAATAAAATAATAAATAAAATATCTTTAAAAAGTCTCCAGCCAATGTTTTTCTACATCATAATCTGACCCCTCTCTTTAAAAATGACCTCACTCACCTGCTTGAAAACATTCACTGCCTTTCCATTGTCCCTTTAAAGAACTGGCAGGTGAGGCACAGAGCTAGGTGGCCTCCTTCCAGAGCTCAGCCCCATTCCTTTCTGCACTCACTGCCCTCGGCCCAAACTAAGGGTCTGGCCTGACTGGGAAACAGCTCTCCCTTGCCTGGAATCACATTTCCTTCAAAGCTTAGCTCAGGGGTTGGGGCAGCAGAGTATCTGCCAGGCATAAGACCCCGGTCCACTTCAATACATACACACATACACACACACACACACACACACACCACACACACCATGCACAAGCCACACGCACTCACACATATGTACACACCACACATACACATGCATACACCACACACCACACGCATACCCGCACACACCACACGCACACACACACCATACACACGCACACACCACACACACCACACGCACACGCGCACACACACGTTTAGACCAGGTACCCTGCTCTATGAAACCTTCTGCCCTAATTCTCCTGCACCTTTCTGCTGTGCTACAAAGGAACCCAACTGAGAATTAGCATTATCCCTACTACAAAAATGCCAATTACTAAATTGTAGGAACTCACAATCCTTGTTTTGAGACTGTCCCCTGTAGCCCAGGCTGGCATCTGTATCAGAGATCCATCTGCCTCAGCCTCCAGAATGTTGGGATTAAACGCATGTAGTACTGAGAACTAAATCCAGGGCCTTGCACACACTAGGCAAGCACTCCAGTACTAAGCCCCACGCCTGGCCCTGAACTCATGGTTCTTTCTATTTGGCTCTCCCACTTACTGAGGAGGGGGTAGCAACAAAACGTGCCACACTCAGTGTCAGGTGTGCCGTCTGACTTCCATGGCTGCTTTCTAAGGTACACAACTTTGTTTTTTGTTTGTTTTTTTTTTTGGTTTTTGAAACAGGGTCTTACTCTGTAACCCAGGCTGCCTGGAGCTCTATAGTCCAGAACAGCCTGGACTTGAAACCCTACCACCTCCACTTCCTAAGAGCTGACATTACAGGACTGTACCACCACCCAGGCATCTCCTTTTTATAGACTAAACATTAAATGGTTGGAATCGGGACTGAAAAGCCACCTCTCCCAACAACCATGGCCCCAAGGAGAGGAAATGGTTCGCTTCGCCCAGTCACAGGTGTTAATACCTAAGCGTGAACCAGTAATTACAGCTACCCACAGCTACAGGTTATGGCTTAACAAAATGCATGGGGAATCAAAAATAATTAAAATACACAGCGCTATCAAACAACATTATACATTTTTCACGGGAGCCAAACATACATCTCTCCTACCTGATGCATCAGTTTTCCAGGACATCAGAAACAGAAAGAATAGCAAATATAGACCTGGACTTAAGGTGGAAAAAACAAACAAGATAAGCAAGTGCATGAAAATGCCATAAGGAAGCCATTACTGCATATGCTGGGATTATAAATATGGTTTATGCTTAAAAGTTGATGAGATTTCAGGGCTGGAGAGATGGCTCAGCGGCTGCGAGCACTGATTGCTCTTGCAGAGGGACCCAGGTTCAATTCTCAGCACCTACATGGCAGCTGTGAACCATACTTAACTGCAATTCCAGGGGAATCCAACACCCTCTTCTGACCTCTGGGGCACTGCACGACACAGATGCACTCACATATATGCAGGCAATACACTCATACACATAAAATTTTAACAAAAAGTAAACAAGATTTCAAAAACAAGCAGAAACCATTCAAGCAGCTGGAGAGGCAGCTCCGTGGGAAAGCCCCGGCCTGCACGCAGCACTGAGTTTAATCCCCAGCACTGGGGAAAAATGAAGAACATCGATTACAGAAGCACATCTTTTAACTTTTTATTTTCATCTTATGTGTATGAGTGTATTGCCTGCATGTATGTGAGGGCACCCGTTGTCATGCAGTGCCCAAAGACGACAGAAGAGGGCATTGGATCCCCTGGAACCGGAGTTATGCCAGTTGTTAGCTGCCACGTGGGTACTGGATTCAAAGCTAGGTCTTCCAGCACAACCAGTGCTTTTAAGCACTGAGCCATCTCACCAGCCAAAGCACTTTTTCAAAAAACTTCTTTTGTAATCTTTGCACGTGAAAAAATTTGAGTAGTCATTCTAAAAACATTACATTATATAGTCTCACTTCTGATCAGACTGGGAATTTCAAAGAGCAGATTTTTTTGGTCTTTTTGAGACAGGGTCTCCCTGTAGCCCCAGCTGTCCTGGAACTCACTATAGACCAGGATGGCTTCGAACCCACAGAGATCCGCCTGCCTCTGCCTCCTGAGTGCTGCGTAGAGCAGATGTCTTTGATTCAGGCACCCAATAGTCTGTGCTCAGCAGCAGAGGTTACCGTGAGGGAGCATGTATTTCACCCTCATGACCCTCAGGGGGAGCAACTGCTACAGCTAAGGACAGCAAAGCTTGGAAAGGCTAAGAACCCTGACAGAAGGCAGGCTCTGTAGCTCTCACCTCTAACAGCAGCCCTTGGGAGGCTGAAACAGGGCTGCCTGCAAGTTCCAGTCTAGCCTAAGCTACAGAGGGAGACTGTCTCAAGGAAAAAAGAAACCTTACCAGTGAAACAACGCCAGTGAAGTTCAGAGCCCTGTGTCCAAACGCTACGCTCAACTTCTACTATACACTGCTGCGAAGAGCTAAATGGATGCAAGGCGCCAATTTGAAAGCAAGTTCACGGAACCCTACAGCAACAACCAATGGTGGGTGTTTTCTTTTCTTTTTGGGGGGTAGAGTGTGCATTCAGGTGTGTTCTTGTGTGGAAGTTTGTGCGTGTCTCTAACCAAAGCTGATGTCAGGTGTCTCCTAACTGCTCTCCACTTGTACTGAAGCAGAGCCTCTCATCTCGCTGGACCCGAAGCTCGATCAGCTGGCTTGCTCCAGGGATCCCCTTTCTCTGCCTCCAGAGTGCTGGGAAGATGCATTAATTTTATAACGTTACATAACGACTATGCTCTTACGGTCCTATCAAGCTTTTGCCTTTGTATTACAGATCCCAAGAAAAATTCTACAGCACAGCTCAGAGACTGCTGCAACCGTAAGATCCTAAAGCAACAGACCAAACAGTCAAGACACTGAATCAGCTTAACTTTGAAGGGGTAAAAAATTGGCTGGGCACAGTACCATACCTCTAAGCCTGCAATCCTACCACCGGGGAGCCTGAGGCAGGAGAATCGCTAGGAAGAAAAACTATTTTGAAAGTCTTGGATCTAAGATATGCCTTGATTTTTTTTCTTTCTTTACACACTATCCAAAGAAAAGAAGATAAATCACAAACCCACACTTGAATAAGGGTGAGGTATTACATCAGGAGTCACTACCATTTTCTAACATGGTGGCACATATGTGAAAAGTATATGCAAATTGTGTTCAAGAGAACCCAAAGCAAAATCTTTTTATGAGCCAAAGCAGTTTTTTTTTAAGAAACTTCACAAACACATGCTTTCCCTGCCTCAATCATAATATACCACATAACCTTTTCCTGGTCAAAGAGCAGTAGTTCCAAGATGGGCTCCCCTCCCAGGCTCACCAGTTCCAGAGCGAGGCAATGCCCTTCAGCAGCACCTGTCTACACCCCCTTGCCCCCTCGCAGGATGGCTGGGCAAAGGCAGGACTCTGGAAAGCACGGCAGCAAGTCTTGACTTAGAGCTACATTACCTATCAAAACCAAACTCCAAAAAACTCACAAATTCCCTCTTTAGAGTGTCCTTTTTTGTTGTTGTTTTGGTTTGGTTTTTTTGAGACAGGGTCTCCCTGTAGCCCCTGCTGGCCTGAAACTCACTATGTAGACCAGACTGGCCTTGAATTCACAGAGATCCGCCTGCCTCTGCCTCCCAAGTGCTGGGATTAAAGGAGTGCGCCACCACGCCCAGCTAGTGTCCTTTTTACCTGTAATAAGGACACTTTACCCAAAATAAGATAGTTTCATGTGCCCACAAGTCCAGAATAAAGACTAGGTCCTCTATAATTTTGACTGCACTTAAATCTTTTGTTTGCTTCTAGATTTTCTTATTCTGGATACTGATATTGTAGTGACTATCAGGAAAAATGAGTATTGCCATAGGAAGCTTCTAAAATATGTTTAGAGCATATTTTTAGCACTTTTTCCCTTGGGGGGTGGTAATTAAGACAGGGTCTCAAATACCCCAGGTTGGCCTGGGAACTCCTTTTAGGGAGGTAGGCATGACCTGGAACTCTTGACCCTCCTTCCTGCCTCCATCTCTCAAGTGCTAGAATTATAGCATGTTCCACTGTATGTAGCCAAAAAAATTTTGTTTTGGAAAAAAACTGTTAAGAGCTGGGAGACTAGGCAGCCCAGTGATATAAAGTCTGAGCAGCACAGAATAGGGTTCAGTTTCCATCCCCCAAATCAACCATACACACACACACACACACACACACACACACACACACACACGCACGCATGCACGCACGCACGCACGCACACAATATTACGGATACCAGATGTCCAAAAATTACATTATAGTCTGTTGACTGTACGAGCTTCCCATCCTAAATGTGAGGAGTTCAAGGAAGTTAAGGTTTCAGAAGAAAACATATCCATTAAGGATGAGTAAATTAACCGAAGGGTCCTTAATTTGTGATGCTCTAGACTGTCAAAGTCCAGTGTTCAGAGCTGGAGGAAGTAACCACCAGCTGGGCTTCTTGAGACTTGGGCTTCTGCATCAAAAGTTCTGCTTGCACAAGGAGGGAGTGCAATCCCAGTATCAACCCTAGATAAAAGTGATACCATTGCCTACAAATATACAGACAAGTACACACATTACAAGTTCTGATTACGAGCCCAAAGCACACAGCTAATAGTTGCAGCTCGGGCCAGGAGTAGTGGTATAGGCTCACAACCCTGGCACAGAAAGCCTGAAGCAGGATTGCCAACTGGGCGACCAGTCGACCCACCTAGTCTCGAAAAAAAAAAGTTGCTGCATAGCACCATGATTCAACTGGAATTATTTCCTTTCCAACATCCAAAACAGTTTGACGTCTTGTTTTACATATATATGCCCCGGCTTGACTTCGTCGAATTTTATGTGAACTACGAGACAGCACCTACCTAATGTGGATGCCCAGGCAACTAGATTAGAAAATATCGATCAGCCTGGCACACATACTCCACCCACAGCTATCGTTACTACTTTATACACAAATACATCAAAGGAAATTCCAATCTCCAAAGCTTCAAAGCACTGCTAAAAAACACCATGCTGCACACTGCGATCCCAGAAAGCAGCAGCTTCCGCAAGAGGTGTGTCTTGGTATAGCCAACGGCCAGAAAACAACTCTATTAAATTTTAACTCCCTAAAAAAGAACAAGTCACTAGATAACAGAATAAATAACCAAGGCAGGGGGCTAGGGCACAACTTAGTGATAGAGCACTGGCCTAGGATTCTGAACACTCTGTTCAATTCCCGGCACTGCAAAAATACACAAAACAAGCGTGTTTCCATGTGGAAAGCATTTCCTTGAAGGAAATGTAGTAATTTTCTAAACTATGCATGAAAATGATTGTAAATCTACTATTTCCTATAAACTTAACACGTCTTAAAACTTCAAAGCCTTTTGTCCAAGTTTCCCCAAAAACATATCTGTACCTTTAGTCTGCTCAAAACTTTTCTAACAAGTAAGAACTGAAAGGAAACCTGTGAAAGCCCCGAGGGTTAGGAGTTGTCATGAGATCCAGAGGCCAGTGTCTGATTCATATTAAGAATTAAAAAATAAAATAAACCTTGCTGAATCTGACTATTGGAGTCACCAAAATGAGGCAGATGGCTTAAATTATTCAAATAAATGTTCTTACATTAATGCTCAAATCTAAAACCCCAAATACCTCAGTCATAAAAAATTACTTTTTTGCTGTTTATCCATTTGCAAAGAAGGAAAAAAGGATGTTCATCTTTGTGATTCCTAAAGCTGTACACTGCAAAAACTAAAACCAAATCTTTCAAAATAAACATTAGGTATAGGAAATCATAACTTCTAAGTTTGTTTTGTTTTTTTTTAAATCCTTGACTCTCAGCATCTTTTTTTCTCCTGGCTTTTTAATCTATTAATACAGTGGCTCACAAAAACATTCCCAAGCCAACCTCAGGAATTAGTTTTACTAAGACAACATTAACAAATTTAGAACCACCAACTCAAGCCTTCATATAATGCAGAGTACTCCCTAAAAACGTGATATGGACAACCTGCCCCGGTCACTACTTTGGTATGGAGTTTTCTGGGCCATCTGCGGAGGTGGCAAGATCGAATGCTGGATAAGGCAGGGATGGAAGGCAAGAGCCAGGAAGAAAGGAGGCCAGGGAAAGGATCAGAGAGGGCTCTTCAGCACCTAGTGGGATGCAGGGGGAGGGGCGGCTGGGGTCCTGTACACAGGGGAGGCGGCCGGGGTCCTGCACACAGGGGCAGGTGGCCGGGGTCCTGCACGCAGAGGAAGGTGGCCCGGGTCCTGCATGCAGGGGGAGGTGACCCGGACCAGCATCCCCACGCTTCCAGGAAGCAAAACGAGGTGCCCACGGGGCCGTCTTCTCGGCGAAGCCAGGAGAGTGAGTGACCTTGCGGGCGGGCCGGGGAGGATGCTCGGCGGATGCCCGGCGAAGGCTGGCGGCCTGGTCCCCGGCCCTCACCTGCAGGGTCACCTCGCGGGGGTCCCAGAGCGGCCGCAGGTGCCGCAGCAGGCTCAGGGCGCCCTCGCGGCAGCGCTGCTCCTCCTGGTCCTGCACCGTCACGTCCAGCTTCGGCACCTCGGGCGAGCCGGGCGGGACGTGGATGTAATTGGCCATGGCCCAGGCGACGGCGGACACGACCACGACCACGACGGCGACGGCGACCACGAGCGCGGCGGGCGCCGGCAGGCTGCTGGACCCTTCCGTCCCGGGGCGCCCTCGCAGGAGGGCTGTGGGCGCTCGGACGCACGGGCGGGCGGCAGGGGAGGCGAGCGAGGCAGCGGGGCGGCCGGCTGGGGTGCGGAGCGCAGCGACGCGGAGGCTCAGCCGCTGTTGGGAAGATGCCTCGGCGCACTCGACCGCGGGCGGCCGCGGAGCATGCCGGGACTAGCCTGACGCTGGCGTCACGCCGGTGGGCGGAGCCTCGACCTGCGTCGAGCGCCAGGCGGGATGGCTAACGCCGCGGCACAATGGGCGGGCCGCGCTTCTTTCGGGGTCGGGGGTCGCGGGGAGCGCGCCGCTCGCAGCGCTCGGCTGCGGTCGGAGGAGCCCGAACGCTGACGAGCTTGGCCGAGCCCTACCGGAGCTCTAACGAGTCTCGAGGGGACCGGGCGGGGGGGTTGACGGGCGGGCGCGGGGACAACACGACCGACGCGGACGGGACCCTGTCGAACAGTTGCGAGCCCTGGCGAGCTTTGCCGATGCCATGCCGAGTCCTGCCGATGTCCTGCCGATGCCCTGCAGAGCTCTCCCGAGCCCTCTCAGACGTTACTATAGCTTCAGCCTTCCTGAGCCTTAGAGTCATGGGGCTCTGGCTGTACTTAGGGCTGAAGTTTTGGGGCAGGAAACAGGACACGTCCTGAAGTAAGCCTGGGATCATCAGGCAGTGAACTTGGCCCCCGCCAAGCAGATCAATGTAGTCGACTTGACTTGTTCTTGAAGCCGTGTACACAGAACCCGTGTATTGGCTTAGCAACTAAATTCCCTTTGGCTATGGAGACTCCCAGTACTGGGAACAAATTTAGATAAAATAGTTAAGTAAACCAGGTGTGGTGGCACACGCTTGCAAGCCCAGCTCTCGGGAGTCCGAGGCAGGGATTGCCACGAGTTCGAGGCCAGCCTGGGCTACTTAGCAAGACTCTGGATCAATAATAGCGTAAGACAAACACCTCGTTCATTTTAAGGATCAGATGCTGAAAAGCCCCTGGGAAAACAAGGTGGAGGTTGGGAGGAAGATGAATGGTCTAGAGCCTGCAGGAAGGTGACTGCTGACTGTCAGGGCGACCCCGAGCCGGCCCTGGGGACACAGACTTGAAACCTTGAGAGTCAGCGTCTACGCCAGCTGTTTCCCTGTTAGAGGAAACTGGATCATCCACAAGTATTCTGTCTGGACTTCCGGCGCCTTTATGATGGAGACAAAGGACGCGGGTCTCACCAGGGCATCTCTCTTCCGCCAGCACCCTGAGTACCAGGTGAACACATTTGTTAGAGAACGGTCAAAATATTACTTATTAGCCTACATTTATAGGCTGATTGTTCCAAAGGAGCCTGCTTCATAAATCACAGAACAAATACTCATAAAAAACTTTTTAAACCAAAAAAGGGGAAATTGAGTTTTGTAGCATATTAAGTTTATTCCACATCTTCCAAACTTAGGCATGTTTTGTAAAAATTCCTATGTAAGGCCCTGGGTTTGTTATACTGCACAAAAAAAGTCAAGTGCTACAAAAAAAAATCCACTAGATTGCTCGTTCCATCTAATTTAGGTTAAAATAGCATGACATTAAAGACTGTCACATTCTAAGTAATATCTTGTGTTTATTATTAACCATGACATTTTAAGAATGTGGCTGGCTGTAGTGGCACACAACTTTAATCCTAGCACTGAACTGGCCAAGGCAGGCAGATCTCTGTGTTCAAGGCCAACCTGGCTACATAGTAAGTTTCAGGCAGCCACCTAAGGCTGCACAGTAAGACCCTGCCTCAGAAAAGTGGTGGGGTGGGGGGCTGTGCTGGGAATTGGAGAATTGAACCTATGACTTCACACATACTAGGCAAGTGCTCTAGTACTGAACTTATTCCCAGCCCTCTGTGGAATTTTAAGTGCATTGTAGCCAGGCATAGTCCCAGAGGTAGCCTTTAATCTCAGAACCTGGGAGGCAGAGGCAGGGGGATATCTGTGAGATCAAGGTCAGCCTGGTCTCCATAGCAAACAAACAAACCAAACAACAACAACAACAACAAAAAGTGCATTATATATTTTGGAGAGACGTCATTTAATAGATAAAAGGTTTGGAAATATTTTCCCCTAATCTATGGCTTGCTTTTTCATTGTCTTAATGAGATTTTATAGAGTAAAATCTTGCAGTTTTAATGAAGTACAACTTACTAATTTTTCCTTCATGAATTGTGCTTTTGATTAATTGCACCTGCAGTGTCCCTACCAATCCCAAGGATACCTTAGATATTCCAAGACACTGAAAACTCGAAATGCTGGTCAAACAGGAATGTCAGTTCATCACTGGTAAAATGCAAAATGGCACAGCCACTTTGGAAGGAAGTCTGGTAGATGCTTGCAAAACTAAATATACTCTGACCATACAATCCACCAATTATGCTCTGTGATGTTGACCTAAATAAGTAGAAAAGTTATGTCCACAGAAACCTCAACAAGAATGTTTATAGAACCTTTATGCATAATTTGGAAAGCAACCAAGATGTCCTTCAGTAAGTGAATGAATTTTTTAATTGTGCTACATTTATAAAATGAAACAAAGATATAGGGGGTAGGAATGCAAGAAGAAACTCAGTTGACAGAATACTTGTCTAGCATCTGTGAAGCCCTGGGTTCGAGCCCCAGCACCACACACAGTAGGTATCTTAGCACATGCCAGTGATCTCAGCTCTTGGGAGGTAGATATAAGAATACTGCAAATTCAAGCCGGGCGTGGAGGTGCACTCCTTTAATCCCAGCACGCGGGAGGCAGAGGCAGGCAGATCTCTGTGAGTTC